GGCCCCCCTGGTGTGCAGTGACCCCCTGGTGTGCAGGCCCCCCCGGTGTGCAGGACCCCCCGGGTGTGCAGGAACCCCCGGTGTGCAGGCCCCCCTGGTGTGCAGGAACCCCGGTGTGCAGGGCCCGGGTGTGCAGGGCCCCGGTGGCCTCAGCAATCAAGGGCTGGTGCCCTGGCCTTGTGAGCCCCTGTGAGCTCTGCTGGCAGCCGCCCTCAGGCTGCTGCATCCCCCCCGGGTCTTACACCTGAACGCTTTAAAACAGCACCCTTCCCTAACGCCCCGGGTGTTCCTCTGGTGCCTTGAGCTGTGCGGCTGCTCAGGCTTGGCTGGAGCTGCTCTGAGGACTTGTTTGGTGCGCAGGCATAACTCTGCTTGTATCAACTTAGGGGCCACCGAAGTACACAAAATCCATCTTAAAGAAGGGCGACAAAACCAACTTTCCGAAGAAAGGAGACACTGTTCATTGCTGGTACACAGGGAAGCTACAGGATGGAACAGTCTTCGATACCAATATTCAGACAAGTAAGGTCACGTATGTACTTGGGCACTGTTTGGCTTTTGTTGCAAATGCACGTAGAGGAAATGAGCTGGGCAGGGCGACAAAACCAACTTTCCGAAGAAAGGAGACACTGTTCATTGCTGGTACACAGGGAAGCTACAGGATGGAACAGTCTTCGATACCAATATTCAGACAAGTAAGGTCACGTATGTACTTGGGCACTGTTTGGCTTTTGTTGCAAATGCACGTAGAGGAAATGAGCTGGGCTTCTTACGCAGCCTCCTGGAAACCTTTGCTTCTGGAAGGTGTGCATGGCAGGGGTCCTGAAAAACTGCCTCTGTCATTGTGGTGTGCAGCTGACTGGAGGTGTCCCTGCCGGCTGCTCCTGGAGCCTGATGTTCCGTGAGGGAATGCAGGGCAGTATTTTTGGCCTGGCTGGTGTAAAGTTACACTGCTGCATCTTGCCAGACCTCACGTTTAGCATTCTCCAGGCCACAGATAACGTGAAACGCGGGGGTTGAATCAGTGCTGAGACTACTCAGGAGGAAAAACAGTTCCTGCTCTAGGAGCTTCTCTTGTCTGTGGAACTTGAGCACCAACTACTCGCTTCTCTAAACAGCCACGTCTTGGTGTGCTTCTGTCATAAACCCCTAAAGGAGGAAGCACTGGGACCAGAGTGATTTGAAGTAGTCTGGTGTACTGTATCCACTGCAGAGGATTCTGCTGGTGTTTTTGTGACAGTTTCTTGATCACAGGATTTAGGATTAGGTGTATGAAATCCTAGAAACACTGATATTCAACACTGAGAGGAACAGCAGGGCTGTCACTGGGACACTGTCTGAGCCATTGTACTGGTTGAATGATGTTGCACATTCCCTGTTGTCTTTCTTTGCTTGTGCCATCAACTTTAGGAAGTCAGAAATTAGTCTTTAATGTTCCCTGGATCAATATCTGAAAGATGCTTATCAACTTTAGCTCCTGCATGTTTAATAATAATGGTTTTAGTGCATAACACTCAATTTTCCCCTAAAAACCTGACAGTGGGCTAAAAATAATATTATAAGAGTAGGTATTTATATAAAGATGATTGTAATAGTAATTTTCAATAGGAGTATGGGGTGTGCTTGGTGTGATGTTATAGCAAATGAACACAGAACTGTCTTTCAGGTTCAAAGAAGAAGAAAGCAGCCAAACCTTTGAGTTTCAAAGTTGGTGTAGGAAAAGTAATCAGAGGTGTAAGTAAAGCTTTCATGACTTCCTCAGAATCCAGAAGGTTTTCAACCTGTAGGATTTATGACTGGGGTTCAAATTTTGAGCTGCTTCTCCTGTACCTTGTGAGATAAAAAGACAAGTTGAAAGGCTTTACAGCTGGAGGATGCAGTATTTACTCTCCATGGATGCATTCCTCCCCCTGCAGTGCTGCTCCTCATTAAGCAGCCTGTGAACAGTGGAATAGCCCAGCGCTCCCCAGCACAGGAGCAGCCCCTGTGCCTGCCCCCAGTGCTCTGCACAGCACATGGGTTGTTGGGGTCTCTGTCAGTCCCTCTGCATTTGGTGTCCTCTTGTCTGTCAGAAGGTGGTTGTTTTCCCTCGGCATCTTTTTGGTCTTTGCCTCAGTGCTGCCCTTGTGTTCCCTTCTGTCATGAGCCGGTACCGGGGGGCTACCGGTTGTCAGGATGTTTCTGCGACTTCCCCCCCCCTCCAAGTGTGGAGAGGTTTGTTAAAAAGCCCGAGCTCCACCTCTCCCAGAGGAACGGCCCCTGTGGGTCCGTTTCATAGAGGGTAGATTAAAGTACCCTCCCACCACACTCATAAATTGTTACCGAGGCCAATGTTTAGTTTTGCAAATTAATCAGTTTATTAAGGGACAATACAAACTAAGGGATCAAGGTTCAGGAGAGGTTGGCTAGGTATATATTGGAAAAGGGATTCAAAGGCACTGTGGTCTATAAAAGGCACACTCCGAAAGAGAGGTGTAAATCAATGGAGTGAAAGGGTAGGAGTTGAGCCCAGTAAGAAAGTTAAAGTGTGTGTGTGTGTGTGTGTGTGTATATTCACCCTCCTTCCTTGCGTAGCGCAGTTCTCGAAATGTGCTGGCAGGCTGGGCTGGAGATCTGCAGGGGGGCCTGCGTCCCAGTGACCGGGGTGACCCCTTCCTGCTGCTGGCAGGGCTCTGGTCCCGTGGCTTTGTAGGAGATGCAGGCTGGGCAGGCTTCTCCGGTCCGGTTCGGTCCAGGCTGGGCAGGCAGGATCCCCGGGAGTGGGCACAGGCACCCCCCTCTCTGTTTCTCCTTGCAACAGGAGTGGCACTCAGGCAGGTTCAGGTGCTGCAGCAGGGTCTGTCCCAAGCAGGCAGAGAGAGCGAGCAGACACCAGCAGAGCAGATCCTACTCTCTTTTTTATGGATCAGAGACCATTGTTCCAAAAAGCACCACTGTCTGAATTAGCCAATCACCATTGGCCAGGTACATATTCCATTAGAGGCAGTCTTTAACCTATTGTCTATTTTTCTGCCAGTTATTATAACTCTTGTGCTGCTTCTTTGCTATGCACTTATCTGGTAGGGCAAGAGGCCTGCTCATTCTGTCCTTGAGTGAATCAGTGGAAAGGCGTCACTCTTGCTTTGCTGACTTGAAAGGCATTTATTGTTGAGTCTTATGTGGGGGGAAGAAGACGGACCGTTCCCCACACCTTCCCCGGTTAGCTCTGAACTAGGTGAAGCTGGCAGCCCTGCGGGCGGGTGGGAGGCGTCTGGGGGGTGGCTGGGCAGGCTCCAGGCACTCAGAGCCCAGGGTTCTGCACACCCGTCTAATCTCATCTGGGAGGCACGGACCCTGCTGTGAACCTGCCCTGCTGACGTGCGGAGCAGATGAGCTGCTTACTGTCTTGTGCTGCTGAGCCAATGGGGAAATCGGTGGCCCAGGATAAGAATGTGGGAAGGATCTTATGCTTACCTGACTTTACAACACCAAATAAACCCAGCCCAGCGTAATCTTCCAGGCTGCTGCTATGCAGGAAGAGGGCCTTGGGATGGTGGGATTGGAGCTGGGAAGGGGATCAGGTCCCTGAGCTTGTGGCCAGCACTGCAGGAGCAGCAGTCGCCTGGGTTTATCTTGTCTCTTGGCGGAGGGCCGTGGTGCTTGTGTGGGTGCCAGGTATGTTCCTTCAGCAGTGACAAGGCATGAGCTGCAGCTGCTCACTGGAATGTTGATGGAGTGCTCAGCTTAGAGCAGCTTTGGGCAGCGCCAGCAAGTCCTGAAGAGGGATGAGCACTGAAATAAATTAGTCGTAAGCATCAGCCCTGAACAAGCACTGACCTGTCAGTGCTGCAGAACAGTGGGGACATGTGAGGCTGAGAGAGACGGATCCCATCCTGTTTGCGGTGACTGAGGATGTTTACATTGAAACAAGCTTGTTACTTCGTGCGTTCATGTCCCTACAGAAACTGCAGTGCAGCACAGGCTGCTGTAGGAATTGGGAAGGTCAGAGGAGGGGAAACACCTCCACAAAGAAAAAGAACGTGGAGGTGCCACCGCGGGTGGGCAGGTGTGGGGAGAGGGGCAGGTGGTCTCATGCAGGTGTTCACGGGGCAGGCTGCAAAAGCCTTCAAGATGCACTTCAGAAGCTGCTGACTGCTGGGGTTGGTTGAGTTTCTTCTGCTTTGTTTTTCAGTGGGATGAAGCCCTCCTAACAATGAGTAAAGGGGAGAAGGCCCAGCTGGAAATAGAACCTGAGTGGGCATATGGCAAGAAGGGGCAGCCTGATGCCAAGTATCCTTTCACAATTATTCATTAAGTAACTTGGAAATGCTTGGTGGAATAAAGTGCTTTATGGACAGGGATATAAACAAGGGGGAGCATTCACTTGTTACTCATGCCAGGCTTGGAATGTTAACTATAAAAAATTCAGTGAACTTAACGGGTAGACACAATTTCCAGTTTGTTTTGAAGAGAAACGCCCATAGGGAGCCCTGCAGAGCTTGCAGTTGTTTTCTGCCTGCTTTTTTACTCCAGCTGCTTCCAGATGCTTATTCCTGCAGCACTGATGGGGATGCTAACGAATGCAGAAGGCTGGAAAGTTCTGCTGCAGCTGTAGAGACAGCAGTTTGACCTTGGCTAGAACTGGTTCTGGGATAGAACGAAGTAGGGGATTGAGGGGGTGATCCTGCAGAACAGCCTGGGCAGTCATTCTTTTTTACCAACATGTCAGCAAGAAGGGATGGTTCTTCCTTCCAATCTTGTAGTAACTTAAAGGACTCTCTAGACAGTCTGACCTCCCCCAGAGGGTGATGAGTGACTGTGTCCCAGAAATGGACACCAGGCTTGGGCAGTTCAGGGAGGACAGGAGCTGCTCATCCTCGGAGGAACAGGAACAATGACAAGGATCTGCAGAGCTGGGCCCGCCTGGTGGCTTCTGCTGTTAACGCAGCAGCTGTGGGTCTGTATGAACTCCAGGATGTTACAAGGGGACAGTGAAATCTGACACTTGACACATGAAGAACAGGACAACAGGTGGGAAAGCACTTCCTAGGGAGGGATGTGGAACTGGGTGGGGCTTGGGTTTCTTTTTTTAAAACTTCCTTAACTTGTGCAAACAGGATTCCTCCAAATGCAAAACTTTTCTTTGAAGTGGAATTGGTGGATATTGAATGAAATGAAGAGTTTCCTTTGCTGCTGGGAATCCACTGATGATCAAGAAAGCTTCCAACAACTGCAGTTCTGCTCGTGTAACTTCAGGATAGTTACAACTGTGGCCTTGTACTGAAATCAAGTTTGTTTTCCCTGCCCCAACTGCTGTACAGTAACATACCACTAAAGAAAACATAGTTTATACATGCAAGTGACTTCACTTTTTTGTGTATATGATCACTTTAAAACTTCCTTCCCTTACTGGAGGGAGAATTAAACCCCTGGGGGACTGACTGCCCCAGCTGTTTGCAGTGACCCTTCCCTTCCACTGAAAGAGGTTTCCTTCCATACCTTGCTCAGGGCTCCAGGACTACACTTCTCTTTCAGCTCTAGCTGCTGAGTTACAGCAGCACCCACCCCACATTGTAGTTAACTTAGAATAGTAGAAGAAAGGAAGGAGGAAAACATGTACATTTATATTCTAGGCACTCCTGAAGTTCGAAAAGATCCACTGATTCATCTTTCCTAGAAGCATCAGGCATAATGCCCATCTGCTCTAGATGAGAACCCCACATGCCAGTAACACTCCTGAGGTGCCCCTGTGCCACAGCTCCAGTTACGAACAGAATGTTGAACTGTCGAGACCCCAGTGCTCTTCCTCCTGGTTTGAATCAGGCAACCCAAGAAAGCCCAGAGAGCTACTGAATTCCTGGCTTTTATTACAAAAATGAGAATGATCACTTTGATCAAAATGAAAAAGTCGGCTCACACTGTGTACATGAAAAACTCCAAATACAAAAATCATCCCAAACACTGTTTGTGCTTTTTAAAAAAGAACACGTCACCTTGCACCGTGTTTTAATTTTTTGACACCCCCCCCCAAATGTAGAATAGAAAATCCCTGTGGCAGCTTGCCAGGGCTGCTGGTGTCACCCCAAGAGTTCAATCCTAATGCCACAAACCAGGCAGCCTGGGAGTCACTGGCTGAGGCAGGGAGCTGGTGACAGAGCAGGTCTGAGGTGCTGACAGGAGCAGCACAGGAGAGGACAGCCCTGCTCCCCCCCTGGCAGCTCTGGTGGCCAACGTGGGTCAGCAGAACAGTTTTAGGGGAAAAAAAAACCCCAAAAACCAAAACCCTACAGCTTTACTGATTAAATCTATGGAATCATTATGAGACTGAAAAAAAATTCTTCAGATATCTCCATAAATTAGTGCAGGGAATTAAAAAACAATGCATTTATGGTAAACTAGGATTGTACAGATATCACTTATCGGTTACCAGCACACACATCTTGCTTCACACATACCCTGCGAACATCAGCTCATTTCACATGCAAGAGACCAAAAAGCAGGTATGACAAACAGTTCTTTCACATCCCTAATTTAGAAAAATATATTTTTGTATTCTTTCTTTGTTGAAACCGCAGCACAGTGAATTCACTCTCTCCCTGGATCAAGTCGGATGGTAATACTGTCCATAATTCCAGGCGTTCTGGTAATTGTACTAGGGAAAAACAAAGACAGGACAGTGTGAGTCAGGCTGCCCGTGCTCAGGAAGGACACCTGGTGATGAGCCAGCCAAGGCTGCATGGAGGCACAGGCAGGTAACAGTGCCCATCACACAGAGCACCCAGGCTTGGCTCCCCCCCCCAGGCGCTGTGCACAGCCCAATCCTCCGCCTGGTGCTCAGGGTGGGACCTGTCAGGGTGCTCCTGAGGACTCCACACACCTCCAAGCCCCACTGGAAGGAGCTTTGTTAGAGGCAGAACTGAGGGCTGGCTCAGTTGCACAGCCACGGCTGAGGCTGGCACTGCTGCCCGTTGTGCTTCTAGTTCTCAGCAAACACCCATCTGGTCAGTCTTCCTACACAGGACAGGTCAGAGGTTCACTCTTGCCCCCCGGATCCCCTCCTTGGTACCTGCTCACTTCCCTTCCAACAGAGTGGCGTGAGAGGGAGGAAAAAGGCAGGGAGCAGGAGGTAAGGGAAACCTGAGCTCTCTGTATTCCAGCTCCATGTTCAGTCTCCCAGCACACCCCCTGAGATGGGAGAGCCCGGGCAGACAGCCCAAGTGCCCCAACACAGCCCCTTTGGAATCCCTCAGTTTATGGTTGGCAGAGAACACCACCGAGACTGTTCCCCTGGTCTTCCTGCAACCAGCTGCACCCCAGCTATCCTGGCTGGGCACAGTCAGCAGTAGAGTGCCCTTTGTATAGCACAAACATGTCTCCATCCTTTCAGAAAGTGTTTCTGCCTGTCCTCAGACTGCAAAATGCACAGAAGACAGACAGTGATGGAGTCACCATGTCAACCACAGGACTAAGGTCTTTATGAACAGCCTAGGTCAGCTATTCCCACAGTTCTGTGTTTGAAATCCTGGGGCATTTTTCCTCGCCTAGTGCTGAGCAGTTTCCCCATGCTGGGTGAGAGACCCTCCACAGCCTCACTTTGGATAGAACACTCAAAACTTGATGTGGACAACTCTGAACTAGTTACCCAGTGGCTGCTCTGTGCCCCACCTGCCCACACATATCCCATGGCCTCCTTGCAGGCTAGAGGAGTTATCCCTTATCTGCTTCAGCAAACATTTCAGCTGGACCCTCCACAACACAGAAGCAGCAGCATTCCAAGCCTGCAGTATATGGCTCCCCTCCCAGCTGAGGGGGCATCAGCAGTGCCACCTTCACCAGTACGAGTCTCACCCAGCAAGTCTGGTACTGGAGCTCTGGCTTTATGGCCAGCCCCTTGGACAGCCAAAACACACAGTGGAACATCAGTGCAGACAGCAGCAGAGCAACCTCTGCAGGTTGCTGCTGTCACAGGCAAGAGGAGGAGCTGCAGAAAGTAACTATTAAAACATACAGTAAATGGGCATCCCAAGGAGAGTCTCCTGGGCAAAACGTTCCAGCACAGAACAGACCTACTGCCCTTAGCAATGGCCTCAGCTGCTGTCACACATCCCTCCACATGAAGGGGCAGCCACCAAACTGCTCATCTGGCTCCTCAGAGAGAAGCATTTTACACAGGCACTACAGGCCAAAGAGGAACCAACCAACACCAGAGCTCAATCTTTAATCCAAGCTTTCCTTGCTGACTGACACTGGGCCATCCAGTCCCTGGGAAAGCACAAGGTGCCCACACTGAGCACAGGTGGAAGGACAGACCCAGAGCACATACCTACCTGGTACCAGGCGTTGTAATTATAGGCTGCCTGATTGACCTGCATGTCTCCATCCATCATCTGGGCTGAGGCCAAGCTCGGGTCGTCTGTGAGCATTTTCTTTTCATCTGGCTCTTCTGATCTGTAAGTCAATATTTGCTGGTAAATGGTAAATCTTGGATCAAATTCTGAGCATGTCTTTGTGTGAGAAAAGTCGTAACAGATAAGGCTGAGTAACCTTTTCAAACTTGGTGCCCTGTCCAAGCAGGGTAACAGTATTTGATTTAGAGACAGAGAGGAGTGCATTGTGCTTCAGAACAAGTCTGGTTTTTAAATTGCTCTGGTGCTCAAACTGAGACAGGAATAGCATAATCTCTGCTCAGAGTCTTTTTTACCAATGCTCTTTTCTGTGATAGGTAATTAAAAAAACCTGTTTTCCTATAAATCTGTTTCCAAATATCCAAATATTTTAACCAACAACAGATCCCTATTTAGTATACACCTTAAGGAATTAAAAATCAGTGACTTGTTACTGCAAGCAGTAGGCTTAAAGCTGAAAAGCCCATGTGTATATATATAAAAATAAACAAAAAAGTCTCTGAGACTGATCTCTGAACTATTTTTAAAGCATTTCCAAAGTGCTCAGTATCAGCAGTAGCTCCGTGCAGCACTAGAGTTCCAGCTACCACACACTGCACTGTTGATGACTGTGGTTTATACTCTCAGGGGAGCAGACTTCCTACCCGTTCTCTGCTCTCCTTTTTAGAGAATCCTGCTCCTTCAGAAGAGCTTCATGTTCATCATAGGCATCCAGAAGCCTGAAGGAGACAAAAGAAAAGCAAGCTTTGCTCACCACTTTTACATAAACATTTTAAGCACCTTAGCAACCATTTAAAAATGCCTAACTGGAACTGTAAAAATACAAAAACATTCTAAAAAAACCTTACTAATAATCAAATTTCAATCAGTCATCTGCCATGAAGATGAGAAAGCCAAAAAACTGAATTTGATTCCACAATGCATAGCAAGGAATTTTCTGTGAGCTCAGAAATTCCCAAATTGCTCAACTTTTGTCACACTTCATGCAATTCTTCTATGAAGTGTTTTTATAAGGAAGCTTTCTAAAACATTAGGGATACAGCTGCTCCTTCCAGTGACTGCATCCCCTCAGCCAGGCATTGGTGCCATCCACAACAGCACTGGTCCTTGGAATCAACATTTAATTAAGTACTGGAAATAAGTATTATATAAAATTACTACAATTGCAAGTAGCACCTACAACCTTTTCCCAAACAACATGGGAAGAAAAGGTGTATTTAAGGCAGCACAAAGGATTCCTAGCTAAAATTCCCGTGGATTGCTAAATGTAACTTCACCAGCTGCATACCAGTTTACAAGGTATTGCATGAAAACTGCTCCTTCTGTCAATATTCCTCTTGGAGAAAACAGTCTCCTTTTCTTATTCTGTGCTCTAGTACCATTTGGGAACTGAAAACTTCACATTGTTTGGTTTGCTCTAGGATCCCCAGCTTGCAATGCTTGGCTGCCAAAAAGTCAGACTGGTCAGAGCCAGCAGAAATGAGGGACCAGCTATTGTTAAAAACATACAAAGCAGAAAAACTAACTTGAGGTTAGTCCTTTTGTGTTATTTAGCTGCAAAATCTAAAAACAAGCACTTGCTTTAAAATAGAAAATTTAGAGTAAAAAAAGTATATTAAAAAGTTGTACTTCTGGTATCTGATCCTCTGAAATAAGAGTGTAGTATTGTTACTACTCCTCAACACAGGAAAACCAAAACAATGGAGTTCTGGAAGCATCACACAGCAGCTCCCAGGGTACAGAGTGTCAGGCTGTACCTGTCCCAAAATACTTCATGTCCTCTTTGAGGAGCACCCTACTTTATAAGGCTTATCAAGAGAAAACTACAGTCAGAAGTTACAAGCAGTGAAGTTTTACTCTATGAGGTGTTAGATATTTTACAGAAGAGGGGTAATTTTCTGAAAAGAGATTTGTTATTTCAAAACAGGAATTTGTTTTAGACAAGCAGCTTATC